GAACGCTATTGGATTTTTATGGGCCTAAGGAAGGAGCGAGGACGGGAGGAATACAAGGAGTCGGAGAGAGGACGGAAAAGGAAAGGAGTGGGAGAGGCAGAGAAAGAAAAAGGCAAGGAGATGGGAGACAAGGACAAAGTATTCAAGGAAGAAAAACCTAAGCAGAATACCATTAAAAATGCTTGTCAAGTTCGCTTGCTGACCTAAATTCGGTAAACCTGTGAACTTTCTAGCTTTTAGCAGGTTCATGGGCAAGCATGTGTAATAGCTTCCAGGCCGAATACCTTTTTAAGTGTTTAATATGTTTGAATGATCATTAGTCACGCACTATTTATCATCACGCATTAATCTACAATTAACTTTTTATCAGGCCGTCGTCACGCTTCCGGCTCAGGAGGCCCTCCAGGAACGCTCATCAAACAGCAATAAAACGCTCCCGAAAACTAAACCACGTCAAAAATGCTGACCGGTCGCTGATCATCGTATAATTACCGCCCAGCTCGCGGCACGAGCCAAGATCAAAGAAAGCTCCATCCCGTCTCGACGGCAAAAACTTCCAACAGGACACGGTGACCGCGTTTGGTGGCCCGGCCGGGCCGGTAGCACAACTACAACGTAAATCTCGTCAGGCGTGCCCGTGTAGACCCGAATGTCCAAACATCCGCCATTCGGCGTGTCCAAGTACCCACACACGCATAAAACTGGCCGTGTGTGCGTGTGTTACGACGCCGAGCGGCTCCGCCCGAGGCAGCGGCCGGCACACCCGCAGCGGCCGCCGCGCGGACGGTGATCATTTCCCCGAGCTGTCACACTCGGACCGAGCGAGGAGCCGAGATTGACATAAATGGCGCGCCGCCCGCACCGCTGCGCCACGATTGTAAACAGGGCGCCCTGACCCGGATCAGTAGTGGGAATACAGTGGCGAAGGAGGCGGGCGAGACTTCTGCGGGTGCCGAGGTCACCTGACGACTGATGAGTGTCCTGTTCTCAGCATGAACTATATAGTATCCAAACTAAAAACTGTTTGGTACAGCTTCGTAACATTTATCTTTCTAGTTACTAGAAGTAAAATAATAGGAACTAACCATGCTCCCAGTAAGAACGCTAATCTCCTGACCTGTGCTTTATCATCGGTTATTATCCTCTCGCAATCCCGAGAAAAAAAATGTGGTGATGAAAAGTGCACGAAGTGACGACTCTGTAAACTTCCGTAGTGTCGCTAAGTGGTGCCCCTGATTTTATGATGCTGGTGGTCTGTTATGTGACTGGTCATTTCAGGTTGGAGCCATTTACTGGATGACCAAATTCGACCAAGCATGAATGGTGCTCAGCAGTATAAGTGTTATTCGCATCAGGCGGCATATCATCTACATGGGTGGAAAATCGATATAAGATTTCTGTCTGATACCTTTCAGTATGAGAGTAGTATTTAACCCCGTGAAAGTCAGAAAACGCGGCGGGGTACGGATCTCATTTCATCTGTTATCGACCCCATTTGAGGGTATAGTGTGCCATAAATGAAATAGCACCAGAATGACCAGTCATTATGGAGATCGTTAAGAGTCGTTTCATGTAACTAACTAAATGAAATAACAGCCACGCCATCAGTGATGGTATCAACGGCTGTCCCCGTTTCTGAAATTTACGCCCTGGGTATCGGGGTTATTCTTCAGTTTTATTCCCAATCGGCGTTAAACCTATTTGTGAATGCGCTCTCTCCTTATGTTTGACATTACCTGGACCTTACAAATAATCACGAGTGTGCACACACATTCACACACATTCCCCTTCATGGTTTGTGTGCAAACACCAAACCCCTTGTTAGGTTTGACAATGTCAGCCTCCCTCCCCTCCTCTCCCTTCCCGTGCTGCACGGGGTAGTGTCCCGCCGTGCCGTGCCCAGGTGCGCCAGTGTGCCCTGTTTACCGCCCTCCTGGATCGGTCGATACCTCTCACCTCCCCTCCCTCCTCTCTCTCCCTACCCACCCCGCGCCACCGGAAGCGGCGGCCGGCGACCTCAGGTGTGCCGCGACCCTCTCCCCTCTGCGGCGGCCCGTCATGGGCCTCAAATGACCTGCGTGGCGCGTTCGTTACCGGTTCGATCGATGGCAAACCACCGCTCTGCGTTGGAGCCTCGGTCTGCAGTGATACCACCGACAGAGCGGCAAACATTGGTTGTGTTGGGTGGGGCGTTTTCGTGATGGCTGCGTGTTGTTTCGTGACGGGAGTGTTGGTTTAGTGGCTGGCACGTGCCACACGTAGGGGAAGGGTGAAAGAACGTGAGCGCTGAAACTGATTTCAGCGACATCGGGCAAAAAACAGCCTATTACCAAGTTACGAAGGGTAAATAGTGAGCTGAAAAGGGGGAGACAGGAGTAGGCTTTGTCGGGCAGATATAATTTCGGCTCAAGTAAGACGCTTCATTGGCTGGGGCCTATAGGGAGCATCTCGTAAGTATCTACCAGGAAATTCACAGATCCTCTGAATTTTTACTCTATTGAGAATGGATGTAGAAAGAGTATCCGAAGTGCGCTGAGAAGTATGATACCGAAGTCATTTCAGACGTGAGCTTGTTTATGATCTAAGCCGATGATGGAGGCTGAGTAGTGACACGATCAGCGACGGCTTTCGTTAAAACACACACTAATTACCGATCTACATGGTGACCTTCAAGAGCCAATGACCCTATTCCTGACAGGAGCCTACCCTTGTCAAGTCTATTGCCTTATTCCGGGCCCCGTCTGTCGATGACCACTCCCGTACGTCACCGCCCTGGCGCGGATCACCGAAGCGTGAGTGGACGCCGGCGAGGACGGAGCGTCGCCGGCCCGGGACTGACCGGAACAGGGGGCTTCCTGCGTCCGGACAGGATGTGACGCGGAAACACCAGCTGCCCCGCGGTTTAAAGAGACGGAGAAAAACGCCGCGACGGCACCCGGGTAGGTGGGAGGAGTGGCTGCAAGGGTGTGGGTTTAAAGGGCGGTTTGGAGGGTGTTGGTAGTGAAGTGGAGGAAGTGCGAAGGTGGTTACTGAGTCAATTCCTATACTGATTGTGTCATGAAAGTGGCCTACAGTGGTGTTATTATAACATGGACAATGATTTCTAGTATAACATTGACAATTATGAAGCGAAAAAAGAGTTAAATCACTTAATTGGCGGTGTTAAAATGCAAAGTCAAATTCAAAATGCAAATGCCAATTCAGAGTGTTTTGGTTCTGCTCTTGAGTGTTTTGGTTCTGCTTTCGCTCCTTCCTGAGAAAATCTGCAACACCTTTACCACAATTACCCCTGTCATATTTGCACTTTGCACACAATATTTCCCCAGAAGCCGCAATAAATCACAGCCACGCTAAGTATGCCAGCTCACGAGGTTGAGGGTGCCTCGATGTGGTCCATTCTCAGAGACAGACGAGGCCACGATAAATGTGACTAAGACCGTAACTGCCGTGCTGCCGAGTCTGCCCAGTGCCAAGTCACGGAGTTGAGGGGGAATTAGGGTAGGTGCGGGGAGCGACAGCGAACGGTGCACCAACGGTCGCGTAATTAGACCCAGCAGCTGCCTCGGAACGGCCCATAATGAGACGCAGGGTAGTGGGGTGGCTGGTGGTTGGGGAAATGGGGATTCGCAGTGGTGTTCACCCTGCTCAATTGTAGAAATGTACTAGCTGGGACTAACCAATGTGCTCGTATTGACTAACGACTTAAGTTGTTTCGAGTTACACATCAACTTCCCTTGGAAACTATACAGCTCAACCTTTCTGTAGATGCATAGTGGAAGCGCAATTGTACTCTTTCTTTTGTGATTTCATATCCTGAAATGATCGTTGATGGGATTGCTTGTTTATCACTAAGCAGTCGTTGACGATGATCTCTCTGCAGGTCAAATGAGGAGAATTGAAAGTCACCTTCATTTCCTCACGGCCTCAGCATCAGGCCATTTATTCCCGCATCCTTTGTAACTAATTGGACGTGGACCACATCTCTGGTGTCGCATCCGTATCACTCGTAGAAAACCCTTTGAGCGGTCGTATATGAGTTACCACAATCAAAGGATTCCCATCATATATCTAGTGGAGCCACCACCCCAAATCACCGCGCAGAATGGGGATGATTTAGGGCGCTCACCACGGCCGTTGTGATATATTGCTGGCAAGAAATGCAAGGAATCAGCGCTGGTCAACTGTTGCTATGTAGACGAACGCCTAAACTTCTGAGCTTCTTTTCAAAACTTTTGATAGTTGTGTCAAATGAAACGGATAAATCTATTGGGAATCGATTGGGCCATGCGTCAACGGCTCTGACACGAAGCGATTTCATCATATGTGTTAAATGCAAATAGCGATCCATAAATTATGACTGTGGGATGTGATGGTGTGAACTGTGACGTCTATTGCACTTAAATTGACTCTTAAGGGAGTTCCTAGAACGATCTAGAATTAAATTAATATTAGTTTTCCTGAGCGGAGCAATAGACGAACCATGATTCATTGCGCATGCGAGTTATTTGACAGCGCCGTAATTGCTTTATTGTGCTTCGTGCCTTAATTGCCGCTAGAATGAGTGGATGCTTGGAGCAAACCTGATTCGATTTTCGTCCCTTGTATTCGCTGACAGTGGGTGGCAATTACACTCGTTCAGAACTGCTTTTATTACGGCAATAAATAACATCGTTCGATTGCGCTGCACCAAATGTTCCCACACGTGCAACTGCTGGTTAACAAGAGTGATATCGTGTGACGAACCGGTATGGGAGCACTAAACGCCTTATCGACATTCTGCATTTCCTTGAATACAACCTCAATTATGTGACGATAAACAGGCCTGTTCTGCCAGCGTATTTATCTGTTTAATTTCGTGTTTGTATAAACTCAGTGATGTGTTTGCTGCTGTTCATTATTTTTTTTTTTTTAATTTTGCTCCCGACAGGCCGAGGCCCTGGTTATGTGGTGCTTTGGGACTTAATCACTTTGCTCTGACCGTTCAGTCCACATAGGTAGAGTAAAAACAAAATGTCTTATATTATGACACGCTATACAGAATCAATGATATGATATACATTCTCAAACCACATAAGGACCAAACCTCATCCCTACCGGATCAGGCTTCATCAGCTAAAATAACAATAACATACATTGTCTCACGCATGTCCATCTCATATCTCACACATCGAGGAACAGTAAACGTAGCAAGCAGCATAGATAGCAGCTTACAACCAGGGGCGATTAGCTGACATCTATCCCTGGTACGCGAGAATCACAGTGGAACTGTTGAACAACAGAATGACTAGTGTGCGAAGGCGCGGGCACTGTAGCCGAGCCAGGTCTCTTGGTCCTCGTACGGAGATTTGTGGACGTATCACCTGGAAATAAAGACTTTGTTATGATGCTTTTACGGTTCGTTTAAACAATAAACAGTCCCTCCGTAAACGTTTCCGGTGTACAGAAAACACCTGATTTGGCTATAGTAATATCTGATTTTCGATATGGAGAATATATGATATTCCGATTGTCGAATGTGCGCAATACACGTTCTAATTGGGGACACTTTTCTCACCTTAGCTCCAAGAAGAGACGCATCAGAAGACTGGCTGCTGAAGTCCATGCCAGAACTGCACGGTTTGCGGCCACGGATGGAACACCTAAACACAGGAAAACTGCAGTTACACACCCATTTTGGTCAATGAATGTCTATCATCTCACGTTAGAGTTCGCGGGCAACTGTGGTTTAATCTTGCTAAGTCATTTGATCTAAGTGGTATATAAAAGGCTGTTTAAATACGAGCTGAGCTACTCATTCGTGTCTTATCCCTATGCATTACATGTGATGAACCTGGCTGTATGTACATTTGAATAATAGGCTTTTGCCATAACATGATACTTGTCTTTGTTATGATTGTAGTTATTTCGATTTTACCATGAGTGCGTGCAACTTACCTGATGCCAAGCTGTTCATCTCTCTCCATGAGTAACCTGCAACAGGGGTGTGCCGCTGTTATTACGCTGGCCGTAATTGTGTGCAAGATCGCCGGTTATATTGATCACAGGGGTGAATAAGTGCCCTAATATTGGCCTCCCTGAAGAGGAGCATACCGCCTGGGCAGTTATTGGGTGGAGCTGCACAGTGGGTGTGTTAGGAGTGGGGAAAGTCCACGGCGGTCGCTAAATGTGCAGTGTCAGAACTGATAAATGCCGGCAGGCGGTAATCATAGTAGTTATCTTCTGCATATTCCTTTGGATGCAATTGTTCGAATATGTTAAAAAGGGCAGAAGGACAATTTTATTCAGCAACTGCATAAATTAGTACTTCACCTACAAATGGAGAAGGAGTTGGTGATGCAAGAAAATTATGCATTATATGCGATCAAAAGCAGCATGCATTTCTATGTGGAACTTACTCGTGTATTTCTCTTTACGTCCCAACATTGGAGAGCTTGAGTGAGATGCTGAACCTGAAAACACAGAAAGGCGACTTTCACACCATGGTAATGCCGGATAACACGATGAGTTTCGGCTATCGAAAATATCAATAAAACTGCAGACATTGGCGTTCGAAAAAAGAAAAGTCCGATGAACTGAGAGTTACATCTGAGCCCGATTCTGGTTGCAGTGATGACTTATACCTATTTACAGATACTCCGCCCCTGTCGTGTAGTCTCCGCACTCTATATGCAGCCTTGAGTCTCTGCGCTCACTTACCTCTGATGTGCGGTATCTTCTCCGTGACCGAGTAGCCGGTGTGCGGCAGCGAGATCTCGCAGTGGATCAGACACTGTTCGGGCACTTCCCTGTCGTCCAGTTTTTTGGTCACGCGCACACTGTAGGCGCCGTCCACCAGCGTCTTGGTCACCTGCAGGCCTCGGATCCGCTCCCTGGGGGTGGGGTAATCCACAGTAACGAACGGTGGACAGGCTGACAGTCGGACAGGGCGCGGCAGGCGGGTGTGTCGTGGGGAGGTTACACGCGCGGACGACCTCTGACGTCACAGTCGGTGGATCTAAGTGGAGTATAAGCTATGGTGATGATGCTGGTAGAGACTAAGATAAGATCAGTGATTGAAGATAATCGGCTGCATATGTAATGTGCCGGTAAATTAATAGGGATAGGCGCATCACGCTACGCAGACCTCTGTGAGATCGCTGGATTTATGCCCATGATCATCGGTAGCTGATGGACTAAGACGTCAAGTCCGTCTATGGGCAATGGATTCATTCAGCCCCGACTATACGGCATTGGATTTGGCCCCAGGGGGGAGTCAGGCACGACAACTTTGCACCTAAATATGCCGACCAATTCCCATCATCAACATAAGTCTCTCTCGACCATAGATTGTCATGTTTATAACAAGGCGATGCAGTTTTCTGTGTGCAATTAATGTGTCTGGTAGGTGGACAGTGGAGACCTTTCTGCGAGCCCCGTTACACCGCGCGCCTCCCGTCACTGCAGAGCGCTCACCGTTTGAAGCGCGACCTCTGGACGAGCAGGCTGACCTCCGGCTCCGGATACATGCCCTCGGCCTTGCACGTCACACTCATGTGGTGGTGGTGCGGCTCGCTGCTCGACAGAGACATCGACTTGACGGGAGCTGAAAGGACAAGCGAGAGAACATGTTTGGTATGAGGGGCTTTGTAAGAGTGTCAGATTCCTGGAACAGCTTACAGCACAGTGTCAAATGTTGGTACACTGTCTTGAAATAAGTACAAGAGCTGTGGTATTTGATCAGGTTGTTTTTATCTGTACTTAATTCATTTCAAGGCCGACATATTTCTGCAGATTACAGATGCATCGGAAAGACATCAATTCAAAAGCATCCACCGAACATCGGTTTAACAATAAAAGGTGCTTGCTTGCTTTGACTGAGTGTTACACCACCCGTCAAAAGACAAGTTCCATCGATTACCTAAAAAAAAAAGATCAGAATGTATTAACCCCTTATGGATTCAAATCGGTAACTATAAATAAACTAAAATAAAAATTACGTGTTTTGAAAACTTTAAAATATGTGGAAATACTTTAAAGTCTAGCTGAACACAACTCTGCAACTTAAATTCACTTACAATAGATGACCATCCTCTTGGTGGCCGTGTCGACGCCCGACCAGGTGGACACCTTGCACGTGAACTCGCCGCTCAGCTCCGGACGAGGGTGCACCAGTTGGATGGCACGGTGACGCATCTGCGGGTCATTGCTGATCACGTGACCCAGGTTGACCCGACCCCGGAGGATGCCGAACGCCTGCGGCGGGTAGCCGGGGATCCACTGGTAGACGGGCGCCGGGCTGCGGTTGTGGTACCATTTGACCACCAGGCCGGCGGCAGAGCTGTTGTCCAGAGAGTACAGGCAGTCGAGGACGATACTGTCCATGGAGCCGTTGAGTAACGCGGTTGGCACCGCGAGGTCGATGATGCGCAGTGCCTGACCACCTGCAAAGTATTGTAGGTCAGTGCCCAGCAGACCTGTTCAATACGTCTTGCCCTGCAGCAGCATAGTAACGGGAACTGCGTTCATCGACGCTCAAGGTTAGATATGATTAATTTTAGCACGTGCGATATATTCAACAGAGAGCGGTGATCATTGTTGCAAGGAGCCGTTTCGGTCTGTTTGAAAGATAGCATCTTTTCTCGGCTTTAATTGACAGTGATCGGAGGGAATTGGGATTGACCGCCATCGTCGCTCCTTCCAGTGCCAAAAATAATTCGAGCTTTGTGGAAGTGCGCACTAAAATTAATCCTGCAATAAGTTTGCCAGCGTGCCATGGCGTCGTGACCAAGTACTTTTCTTGAAACAGAATCCACTTGTACTAAGGACATACTCGATGAAATGGCTTTAGTTCATCAATATGACATTCTACTAACAAGTGCGTATATCAACACAAAGGAAAAATCCGACTTTTTATTCACTATTTAAAATATATATGCTGCAAGCCTACTTGAATATTTATGTTCATATAAGCTGGCTGTTTGGGCGGAAAATAGAGCAAGGTCTCTTGCGTTTCTTTATAAAAGACACCCTCGAACGTAAAAGAATACCGTAACAACTACCAGGCCACCTTTTTGTAACTTTTTTGTTGCACACTTAAGAGCCTGCCTCTTAAAAGCCGCGGAAGATGAACCGACTCGTTACCATTTTTGCTCGTCATTGTCCTGCGTCTGTGATCGTTACGAGGCTCGTTGGGCGCCGGGAGCTCCCTCCGCACAGTCGGCTCGGCACAGCGCGCGCGGTCGTGACACTCACGAGGACCCCTTTGTGCCGGCGCCGCTGCGCCGATGACACATGACGGGAAATTGCCTGCCGTCATCACCGCGATAGGGGCTGATTACCCAGCCAGCGTCCCTTGAGTGCGGCTCATCTGGCCGCGCAGAAAACCCTTCATTCCACGACGGGCCCTTGTGGTCACGACCAGGATATATCTCTCTAAACGCCTCCCGACTCTGAACTCTATCCTCGTGGTCAATACCGTGCGCTTCTCCGGTCAACACCGGCGTTAAATCGTCGTCACGCGCGTGTCTGATTGAGTCGTGACTGCAGCGCCGGGCTCCTCCTCCCCGGAGACTGCAGCTCATCACAACACACCAACACCGCGGCGGTTTTTCTCCGACCGCCGCTCACCGGACGACCTTTAGCTCTCAGCGTCACCGCGGAGTCGCTCGGACGCGCTCGTGAGCGGCAGTCAGCCGTATTGGACACCTTTGAGGGCTAATGATGGCAGGGTCACCGCTCACAGAGATCAGGGGAAAACAATTAGTGCCCGAGCTGCGAGGAGCGCCGGGGGATCCACCGCCAGCTGCGCAGCGCCGGCTGAGCCGGGCTGATTGCTATCTGGACGGGTCGGATCGGGCTGTCGGTTCGGGCGGAGACGTGGGGTTGTCGGTTCGGAGCGGAGACGTGGGGTGAGGCCAACATGCCGCCGAATCACCCCTGGGGCGCCGGTGGTAGAGCAGCATGCAGCGCTATTCTTGGCGAGCTAGAAAACTAACTTAGCGTTTGCATGTGATTCTACCGTTGTGTAAATGCCAAAGTGTCGAGACTGAGGTTCCTTAGTGCGAGAACAATTTGTTCCACCCATATTTTGCCACCATTACATGCAGTAAAGCAGAGCATTATTTACCCTGGGCAAACACAAACTGCAGAACAAACCCATATTGATTCGGTCATGAGCACGCGATCAATTAGAAACAGACCTACGGCGCGGTCGTTGATTTGAATTATTACACCAATGTCCAATTACTGCTAGCATTAGCCTGGTTTATGTGGGCTACTTGGAATAAATATCAGACTTTGAATCTAAGACGATAAGCTGATATTGAATAGCCGATTGATGGTGCCATGGGCGGATAAGAAGAGAGAAGATGGTGCAATATCATGCAAAATCAACAAGGTAAACACATTACATTGACATTCATATTCTTTTCAACATTAAAAGGAGACGAATCTCAGGGGCGTGGGGGGGGGTGGATGGTAGCAACTCAAAATTTCCGTTTATGGAATGGTTTCCTACATGAGGAAACCATCGTGTCATGTTGAATACTGTCAACGATGCACTGACTTTGCAATCCATCTATGAGTGAAAAGCGGACCACTGTTTGGCCAACACAGAACACTGACAAATCACTGAAACAGTACTGAACCTCACCTGATAAAAACACAGTGCAGGCAGCCACCAGGCACAGATGCCACCAGTCCGCCGTCCGACCCATCTTCTGGTGCCGATTTCCTCTAATCTTCTCTTCTCACTCGCATCCCAAGCGGTCCACAAATGTCCCAGCTCCTCTCCGATAGGTGCTTGTCACCGGCGCGAGCGTCACAGACCTCCCTCGTCAGCCACGCGGCGCTACTGAACACGGCACATGGGGAACACGCGAGGGCCGACAGTGACGCGCCGAGAGTGACATCTATCGGCCGCTCGGGTAACCAGCTCACCGCGCGGTGACCGAGAGGGCCGTAAAATTATTCGGGTATGCCGCCTCCGCCGCACCGTCCACGGAGGAAGCTATAAAGTTAATTTGGCGCCGTTAATTTAGAGCAATGAGTTTCGCTGTCTTTGAACCCCCGCGCATCGGTTAGAGTAGGCAGAAGCACTCGACACTGCCTAGCTTTATGGCTGGCTGTTTGAAAACGTATTTCAGAGTAATGCCGCAAAAAGCTTCCGAGCATGACATCGGCTCTTTTATTGTGACAAAAACTGACGAGGGGATCGTTTTTGTACGGGTTTATTAGAGGCACGTCAGTATTGGTAGGGAATGATGAACGGTTTCGATATAAACTGCTTTGGATGATGCTCACTTCTGAGGGGTGGTCTGGCTGTTCAAGATCAGATGACCTCGTAAAATTAATTGAAATTGCGCTACTTACTCACATTCCATGGAGATATGCACATTTGATGCCGCCACTTAAATATTCATAGCCTTGCCTGGAACCAACAGGCTACTCCGTAAACAGACAAAATCCAAGGTCGTCGGAATTCAAGTCGGAATTGCATGCCAACATAAACTGTATTGTCACTTGATTTCAAAATTTGAATACGCCCGTTAGTTGTAAGCATTCCTTAAGCCATGGATGAGATAATACTCCTAATCCATGCTTGCTTCGTGCTGCTAGTGTTCAGCATATCGTCATTAAAAAGTTAGGCTCGCCGTCTTTTGACGGTTCCCCTCCGTAAAATTATTTGAATAAAAGTATCTGACTGTGATCCGGGCTAATCACAGCGTAACCTGTGGCCGTCACCCCGGCTTAATCGATGTTACAGTTCTGCTCACTGTGTGAGCTGTCGCCTCCCCATAGCCTGGCCGGCATTCTGTTGGTGGGTCTCGTACCGCCTTGACTGTGCTGTAAAAGGCTTCCAACGCCCAAATGTAGGCCGCCTGCAATGTGGACGCATATGTAGTACACCAAGCTATAGTGAACAGCTAAGGAAAGTCTGAGTCATTGTGCGCTGATGCAAACGTCAGCTGGTGTTGTTCTAGAAAATATTTAATCGGTGATATGCTTATTGAACTTTGCTTGGATGAATCTAGGTTGCACTGTGCGCTTTTCCTTGGAGTTTACCTCGTTGTTTGCTAATTTTACGCTAGATGCTGGATATCCATGAGAGTAAAATTTATCGTTAGCATGTCGATAGCCGTGAGCATTTCCAGGATTTTCTTTATTCCATTTCTCGTTTCACTTTCCTCTATGTAGTTACAAAACATGATACATGGCAGAAAATACGTTACACAATACACATGTATGGAAGCGATGCGCCTCGGCGCTTGTAACCTTTTTGTTTTCACTCGATACATATTCACAGACAGCGTGGGTCGGTGTGAGTCTGCAGCCATGCCAGCTTTACCATTCGTGGCACAATCGCATGCTTGACACGGTTTCTAACTAGGCACAATATGGTTATCATTTCATTGTTACTATCGGTTACCATCGGACATTTAAACAACAGATGTGACACTCATCTGGCGCTATTTATGCAGCGTATCTTACGATCATGCTCCTATGGTGGGAAAATGATGATTTTTATTGGAATTTATTTCCGCTACGTGATGCTCTGCTTGGCACAATTGTGCTGAAAAGTTAGCGGGATATTCCCGGTTTCGAGTGCAGATTACATGTTCTGAGGCTCGGAGTGTCATATCTCAACCGGTCCGGCTCTCCTGACTGACTGCGGCCCAGCCGTCATAAGATTTGCATGAGTTACTTAGCAACATTGGTGTCGATATCGCTTACAACTCCGACGCCCTGCCATTATCAGTTTACAGCTCTGATTGTCTCGTAACTCAGTCTGGTCGCCCCCCTCCCCGCCCCCCTCCAGCGGCAGACGGCCCCAACGCGGGATTGAGAATGACGCCCCGCACTGCGGTTATCACGGGGCATCTCTTTGCGGCACGGAGCTGCAGCTCTAGCGGAGCTGTGGCGGCGCTATTGAAGCGTCTACGAGCGACAACAAATGAGTCCCTCCCCGGCAGTAGAGAGCTTTACGCCCCACCAATACCACATGGTGATCGGTTTGTCAGGCCGTTCGACAGTTCATGCAAAGTTCATGGCTCTGTGGCCGCTTGGCATGGAGATGATACGGGAGAAGTTATGGCAGGAGCTGGTTCGTAGTTTGTCAGCAGTCTCGGCTCACCGGCACGTGATGTGTTGCTTTTGGCGCCCGCTTCACAGCCGCAATCCGCATACATCAGCTGAGAGCCTCCGCCTGTAAAACGTGGCCCAGTTGGCGCTTACATGTGTTAGTAGCATGTTCTGGTCGTGTCGTGTTACAGTCACAGGGCTGATGTCAGCCATGTGAAAATCCCATGAAAAAGGCGTGAGCTGTGCGTTATGCAAGCCCGTGATTTCACAGTTGCCAGGCTCGAATGACAAGTAGAAAAGCACATAGATATGTATGTAGTTAATTTCTCCTGCCAAAAGTAATAAAAAGTTAAATACGATAGATATGTTAGCTTTTTCCTGTCGTTGAAGTGACACATTTACTAGATGAATCAGCTGAGTTTCTGTCGCTGGCCCCGTGGTGTCAGGGTTCCTCCGTGACTATATCGGGGAGGAGGGGACCTGTCAGGGCAGAGGCGGAGGGCGCCTGGTCGGGGCGGGTCAGGCCTGACCGGCACGGCCGCTCAATAGCCGCTAACGAGTTGATGCGGTAGACACGTCACTCAGGACTGGATACCAGTGGGTGGAGAGAATAGACAGGGGGACGGATATGGGCACGGAGAGGAAATGGATGATATAGGAGATAAATGAGCTTGTATCTGCTCTCATGGTATTTCTCTTCTAATCTTTTAGTTTGATTCATAATTGAGGATCCCGACATAAAGAGCTTAAAACACATTTTACTCGCAACTGAAGCGCAGCCGTTGCTCTGAACTGTTGGACAGCTGGAACAGAAGGGACCAGGCGGAAGAGGAAGTGGAGTGACCCGCCTGATGTGATCACCCCACCGCACACCTCCACATGGCCTGGTCAGAATGGGTACATCTGCGACGGTCATCCCCGATACTGAGTCCTGCATGTCACCACCCCGAAACAAAGGCCCGGCCACTGCCCGGGGTCAGCACTTTATCGCTCTCCGGGACAAAACAAAGACATAACCGGCCGGTTGGCGCCGCACGGGGTCCCAGTGGCCACTGCCCGGCCACCCCCTGTGCCGGCACACGTGATAAATAAACACCCGTGCGCGATGCACTCTGTGACAGCGGCATGGTGTCGAGCCCCCGGCGGGGTGGCGAGGTAAGGCGAGTGTGGAATGGGGAAGGAATGTTGGAGTGGTGCAGTCTTGTGGCAGTCTTATCCAAGTGTTGTTGGTAAAGGAAAGCCCAAGGGTTTCATGATAATTGTGTGCATTTGTCATCGCTAATGTAAATGTTGTGTTGCGTTGCGTTTGGAACTTTTTAGATTTTAAAACAGTTAAATTTCAAGCTTTTTAATCTTGGAATTTACGCATTTATTGCATGTCTTCCGATGCCGCCACCGAAAAATCACCGCCGACTGCCGAGAGGTGAGGGTCAGCCATTGTAGATGGCGGTGGTTTACGCACGTGTTGACCGCAGCCCCGTACCTCGGTGTCAGATAACTCTCCTCTGACCGGGGACCGCGGGACGGCACACCTGGTCCAAGAGCAGACCAAACACCACACAGAGAGCAAACAGCGAGCGCTCGGAGACAGGCCGGGGGACGGCGCGCACTTTTGTCAGACGAGTGGTGCTCGCAGCGCCGTTCTCGTGTTTGCGCACGCCGAAATGTTGACACGGGGACACTGGAGGCCACTTGAGAGGCCTGAGAGCATTGTCAGCGGCTCACGATACCAGTATTCAGTAGCGGATATGGATAGAATAGGACTTATCCTATTGTTGGATGAATTTACATTGGGGAGATGTCCGCAGCCGGCAGGCTTAGTTGTGATCTAAAGCTCCTTCTCATAGGTATGTCCTCTCGCATGCTGAAAGGAGATGCAACCATCAACAAGCAACCCAATAGACATACAACCTTATAAATAACAGTGCCCAGGGCTGCGGAGTCGATGAATTTACGGCGACTCCGACTCCGACTCCGACTCCGGCTTTCAAAAACCAACTCCGACTCCGACTCCGACACCGGGCAGAAATGTCGACTCCGATCGACTCCAACTCCCGACTCCGACTCCGCACACCTGGCACGGCTGCGGAGTCGACAGATTTTCGGTGACTCCGACTCCGACTCCGGCTGGGGTTTCCAATATCGACTCCGACTCCGACTCCGACTCCGGTCACAACTGTCGACTCCGACCGACTCCGACTCCGACTCCGACTCCGCAGCCCTGACAGTGCCTAACGCTGCACGTGACGAATTGATAAGATGCCTGCACGTATACATGTCTCCACTCCCGGTTGAGCTCATGTCTCACACCTCGGCGCCGCTGCTGACGGGGGTCGTCGTCAACTGGAAACATACACCCCGTTGATCCCGCCTTATTCGGTCACTGCCTCTGCCACCCCGGCCGCGCCTCCCTCCGGTCAGCAGACGCCGCACCGTGAGGGAGCTGCACGACCGAGGCGCTCCGTCAGACGGCTCTGTTCGAGCCCTCCCGGGGCGTGGCCGGTCAGATTTGGCACGGCACGGCCTCTCGTAAGTCGTAATCAGTCCCGCCCGTGATAAACCTCCTCCGCCCGGCCGCCGGACGGTGCTGCCACCTGTGCCCCGGCGGCCGAACTGCACCTGGCAGAGGGCCGCGCTCGAGTCACGCTCGGGAAGAAAATGACTCCGGCCGTGAGTCAGGGGCGCTCCCGAGCGGTAGACGCTTCTGTCACGGTTCTGGCAGTGTTGGCGCCGCCCTGGCAGGTTTTCTGATGACTCGAGGGAGGCGAGTCTGATCCACCGTCGTGCAGCCAACCAGGCGTGGCGGCTTACGAGGAGCCTTCTCAGGCTCCGGTTAACGATTTTACTGGACCATGGCTCTCGGCATTCCGCCGATCGACCTTCTCTCACACTCCGTTTCCCATTTCCGCGTGGTATGACCAAAATAATCCCCGTGTAATCGGCCCGTGCATACCACAGTGACCTCTTTAATCCCCGCCGCCATCAGCAGCCTGTCCACGGCGAGTCAAAATATTTAAATTGCCTGCGACCGCGTCGCTCTCATCGTATTGTGACCGGCCGCCGCCAGACCAGCCTCAGAGAAGTCATTCGAGCGGTGCCCGGCGCGGAAAATTTCCGAGGAATGTCGCCTCGCTCGGCCGGGGCGCTCTCAGGTCCCCCATTGACGTTTGGTCGGGTCCCGGCCGGCCTCACAAAGGGGCCTAATGACTGCACCGGCGGTGTCTGGCGGTCCTACCGCCGCCCCGTCAAAA